CCATGAGAGACTATGGGCTCTGAAAAACAATCTGAGGGGTTTGAAGCTGCGGGGGTGGGAGGTTGGGGGAACCAGGTGGTGGGTATTGGAGAGGGCACGGATTGCATGGAGCACTGGGTGTGGTGCAAAAACAAGGAATACTGTTATGCTGAAAATTAAAAAAAAAAAAGCTAATAAAAAAACCTAAAAAAATTTTCTGTGTCTAAACTTGAGAATCTATAAAGGGAATAACCCCGGCTCCTGCCTCAGTGGTCTGGTGGGGCTACAAACATGAGCTGCTCAGTCAGTGTCCGCTCTGATGGGTCTCCTTGGCAAGTTCTGTTCACCTCTCTCACAGCAGGCTGCCTAGGTGACTGGCCCCCAGTGGCTCTTATGTTCAGCCCTACTAATTTTTGTGAGCCTTATGCTTTATATGGATGATAGCACCTTTATTTTTCATTTCCACTCATTTTTATATAATAAGAGCAAAACAAGATGAATTACTCCAGCAGTTGCACAGGCTGACTCTGGAACAGAGATGCTGCTGGGACTGTTCGGGGCTGGTCATTGGCAGGGAGGGCCCGGGCCAACCCCCTCCGAAGGGGAAGGTGGAATTGAGCCTCTGAAGGTGGTTTGGTGAGTTGGACTGAGACAATGAAGTAAGATTTGTGTGAAAGTCAAGGATCACGCGTCCAGGGCGTCTGGCCCTTGACTCTTTTCATGCAAGAAGTTTTTGCTTCAGATGAGCACGAGCTGCTCTGTGAATCTAGAGCCATTTTTAGGATCCTTGTTGATCAGCCCAGCTCAGCAAACCAGTTTCCCCCATGCAGTCCTGCCAGCACAACTGAGTCCCGAGGAGACACCGTCCACACGTGGAAGAGGCATGTGGTCGAGAACCCGATGTTGATCTCCAACCTGATGTCTGTCATCTAAGAGGAGGCTGTGTTCCAGAGCAGAATATCCCTTTTCCATTCATTCGCCTCCTGAAGGTCCCACAGATACTTCCAAATGTGATGCCTTCTGTGAGTTTCCATTCACGACTGCAGCGAATCCCACAAACTTGGTGGCTTAACGCGATACGGATTTCTTACCTTACGGTTGTGGAAGTGAGAAATCTGAAATGGGTCTGGCTGGGCTGCGTTCCTTCCTGGAGACTCTCAGGGAACCATCTTCTAGCTTCCCCTGGCTCTCGAGCCCACCTCCATTCCTTGGCTCAGAGCCTCCCCCACTTTCAAAGCCAGCCATGGCTGGTCAAGTCTTTCTTCGAGGGCATCCCACTGACACTGGCTCTGCCACCTCTTCTTCCCTCCCACCCCCCACTTTGGGACCCTTATTATTATATGGGACCCACTTGAAGAGTCAGGGTAATTTCTCCCTATCAAGGTCCACGGGTTAGCAATTTTAATTCCATTTGCAGCCTCAGTTCTGCTTTGACACATAACCCACGGCATCCCAGGATCTAAAGTGTAGGATGTGAATGGACATCCTTGGGGGCCGTTCTCCTGACCATACTCACGGCCCGGAGGTCAGTTCAGGGCTCCCCAGATCACAGGCGCCTCTGTATTCTTTTTCTTCGGGAGTGTTCAGAACACAGCAGTCAGTGGCCGTCGTGGTCAGATGTGTGCAACGTTGGCAGGCCCCCCCAGGATGTAGCTGGCTGCTGAAGTCTTAGGTCATCCCTTGTGAGGGTAGAGTTACCGACTATCTCTGGTCCCATTGGCGAAAACACCCGTCATGTGATGTGGTGGAAATCTTTTCTTAACCTGATATATCATTAAACATCCAAACCTCCTGTCTTTATTCTGTGATGCACCACAAGCAGCTTTGTTATGATTTGGCATCTCGG